GGGGGCGCTGCTGCCGGCACCCCGGCCAGCCCGCGAACGCGGGCAGACGCGTCCCTGGTCCAACAGGGCCAGCGGTGGCGCGCCTGCCCCGCGCGGCGCGGCGACGGGCTCGGCGTCCACCGGCCACTGCCCCGCGCGCCCCAGCCCGGCTGCCTCGCACACCTCGGGCGTGACGACTTCCGCGGCGCCATCCTGCCCCAACTGTGGCGACAGGGGCCATCGCGGCAACGACTGCCCGTAGTGGCGTGGGAGCCAGGCCAACTCGGCCGTGCGTGGAGCGCGCGATGGAGGTGCGCCGGTGTTGTTGCCTCGCCCTGCCCCTGCTCGCGTCGGCGCAGCCGTCCCCAAGCCCGCGCGCCACCCCCACCAGGCTCTCACAGCGAAGGCGAGGATTGGGAGCAGTGAGTTCACCGCGCTGCTCGACAGCGGCACGCAGCTCTGCCTGCTGGACGCTGCGATCGCGGCAAAGCTGCGGCTGGTCCTGACGCCGGTACGGCGGCAGCTGCTGCTGGCCTGCGGCGACCAGCGCGTGTGCGCCGAATGGGAGGCGCGCGGCGTGGAGGTGGAGATCCGCGGTCGCACCTGGCCGTTGGACTTTTTGGTTGTTCCCATGTCTGGCGTGGCTGCCTCCCTCGGCATGCCCTGGCTCTGTAACGCCAAGCCACTCATCGACTGGGAGAAGCGAGACTGGAAGTACCCCCCAGGAAGGGGAGGGACGAAGAGGGCGGCGCCCGCGCCGGTCACTGACCCGGCGCCGCCGCCGCCCCGGGAGGAGGTGGAGGTCAAGCTGGCGTCCGCGCGCTGTGCTGCCCAAGCATGCGCGGATGGCCGGGTGTCGCTGGTGGTCGTGCGGGCGGTGCAGGAGGATGGCGAGGCCCAGACGGTGGGCCTGGAGGACCCTCGCATCGCCCAGCTGGTGGACGAGTACACCGACCTCTTTCCAGCAGAGCTTCCGACGGAGCTGCCGCCCAAGCGCGGCATCGAGCACACCATCGAGCTGAAGGAGGGGACTCTACCCATCGCACGCGCGCCCTACAGGACCGCGCCGCCGGCGGCGCACGCCGTTCGGGCGCAAGTGGAGGAGATGACGCGGCAGGGGCTGATCCGGCCGTCCACGTCCCCCTGGGCGTCGCCGGTGCTGCTGGTGGGCAAGAAGGATGGGTCGCAGCGGATGTGCATCGACTACCTTGCACGGACCAAGGCCACCATCAAGAATCGGTACCCGCTGCCGCGGGCCGATGACCTGATGGACAGGCTTGCCGGCGCCCGCGTCTTCTCCAAGCCGGACCTGCGCAGCGGCTACCATCAGGTCCGGGTGGCGGAGCAGGACATCCCCAAGACCGCGTTCACCACACGCCACGGGCTGTTTGAATTTGCGGTGCTGCCCTTTGGCCTCTGCAGCGCACCCGCCACCTTCATGCGCGGCATCAACGACGCCATGCGGGACTACACCGACAAGTATGTCGTCGCTTACCTGGACGACATCCTGGTCTACTCCCCCGACATGGAGACCCATCTGACGCACCTGCGCGCGGTGCTGGACGCGCTGCAAGACAACCGCCTCTACGCCAACCCCAAAAAGTGCGTCTTCGCCCAGCCCAGCGTCAGCTTCCTGGGCCACGTCATCAGCGCCGATGGCACCCGCATGGAGGAGGACAAGCTGCGCGCAGTTTGGGACTGACCTGAACCCTGCAACATCAAGGCGCTGCGCGGCTTCCTGAGACTTACCAACTGCTACCGCCGCTTCGTCAGACACTACGCGCGTTTGGCGCACCCCCTGACCGAGCTGCTCAAGGACAACGCCCCTTGGAACTGGGGCAAGCTGGAGCAGGAGGCCTTTGCAGGACTGCGCGACTGTTTGCTGTCCGTGCCCATTGTCGCCTGTTCAGACTTCTCAAGGGACTTCACCATCATGTGCGATGCCTCCGACTACGCCATCGGCGCCATGCTCTGCCAACATGACGACGCAGGCAACCTGAGGGTCATCGCCTACGAGTCCTGGAAGCTGCGGCCGGCGGAGTGCAACTATCCCGCGCACGAGAAGGAACTGCTGGGCATGATCCACGCCCTGACCAAGTGGAGGCACTACGTGCTGGGCAGCAAGGTCAACGTGAAGACCGACAACCGCGCCCTGCAATTCCTGCAGAGCCACCAGCAGCTGTCCAGCCGCCAGGCCCGCTGGCTTGACTTCATCGCCGAGCTTGATCTACACATCGACCACATCCCCGGCACCAGCAACGGCGTAGCAGATGCCCTGAGCCGACATCCGCTGCGCGTGGCCGGCACTCGCCTCGTCCTCACATCAGAGCCCATGCGCGACCGGCTGCGCCGAGCCGCCGCCGAAGACGCGGCCGTCGCTGAGCTCAACGCAACCCTGGACGGAGGGCCCGTCGACGGCTACAGCAAGCGGGACGGTCTCGTGTACAAGTACCACCCCAAGGGTTACCGGCTCCTCATCCCGGCAGATCTCACACTCCAACAATAGTTGCTGCAGGAGGTGCACCACAGCGTGGGCCACGGTGGACAGCGACGCACCCTGGCGGCCATGCAACGCACCTACATCTGGCACGGCATGGACACAGACATCAAGCTCTTCGTCTGCACCTGCGACGCGTGTCAGCGGAACAAGCCGCGCCAGGGCCCAGGCCCGGACTGCTGCAGCCCCTGCCTACGCCAGACTACCCTTGGCAGCACATGACCCTGGACCTCGTCACTGGCCTCCCGATTATGCCCCGCGGACACAACGCCGTCGTCGTCTTCGTGGACCGCTATTCCAAACTGGTGCACTACGTGCCCACCACCAAGACCGTCACCGCCAGCCAGCTCGCAGAGGTATTCATCGACCGCGTCTACAAGCATCACGGCCTGCCCAGCGTCATCATCAGCGACCGCGACCCGCGCTTCAATGGCAAATTTTGGAGACAACTGTTTGGCGCCCTGAAGACAGAACTGCGCATGAGCACGGCCAACCATCCCGAGACGGACGGTCAAACTGAGCGCGCCAACCGCACCCTGGAAGAGATCCTCCGTGGCCTGGTGGACCCCTGTGAGACCGACTGGGACATACACCTTCCGGCGGCGGAGTTTGCGGCCAACTCCGCCATCAGCGCCGCCACGGGGGCCAGCCCCTTCCAGACGTTGTATGGCTTCACGCCGCCGGCCCCCGCCCAGCTGGTCTCCCACTACCCAGCCGTTCTGGGCGCCACTACGGCACCGGCTCGCGCCGCGGAATTCCAAGCTACGCAGACGCGCATGCGGGAGACCATGGCCAAGTACAACCAGCGCATGGCTGCACAAGCCAACCGCTCGCGCCAGGACCACGAATTCAAGGTGGGCGACCGCGTCCTTCTCAGCAGCGCCCACCTCCGCATTGCGACCCCCAATAGTCGCAAGCTGGCGGCTCCCTTCGTCGGACCTTTCACCATCCTGGACATGCGCAACAAGGGCGCTGCTCGCCTGGACCTCCCCGCCGACATGCGCGTCAACCCGGTGGTCAACGTGAGCCACCTCAAGGCCTACAACTACAACTCACACGGGCGTCCTCCACCCCTGTACATTGATGGAGACGAGGAGACGTACGAAGTCGAGAGCATTCTGGCCCGCAAGCCTGCTGGCCAAGAGCATCAGTACCTCTTCAAGTGGCGCGGCTACCCAGAGGACGAAGCTACCTGGGAACCGCTCCGCAACCTGGCCCACCTGCCCATGTTGCATGAGTTCCTTGCACAGCAGCACGAGGACGTGCCTGCTTCTTAGGGTGGGGGAGGGTGTTTGTTGTGGGGTACTCCTGCCTTCCTCTGTTCCCTCTCTCCTATCCCAACGCCTACGTGCCTCGGCCGTCCCAAGGCACCTCAACCTACATCACCTGTCTCCCAGAGGAGATCGGGGACAGTTGTAAGAACTCTATCTCAGAAAGTACGACATCTGTTCCCATCACGGAGGCATATCGCCTGCCCCGCAACAGCCAACATGCTCATGCTGACCAAGATTTTTTTTGCGAATGCACTTCGCGTCCCACAGCTTTTGGTGGGCCACCTGCTTCCCCTCTTATTCCCCTCTTTCCCCAATGGTTTGCCATTTAAAGCAACCAAGTGTGCCAGCCTGATCTTGGGAAGTAGCTGTTTGCAACCGGCGCGAGTCCGGCAGGGGTGTGGTGAGGAGATTCGGCGTGTCAAAAATGTCTCTTAAAGAAGGCACCCCCCTAGCCGCCAGTTCGAACTGTATCATAAAAATCACCCAGCACACGTATCAGAGGGATACGAACCAAATCGATGGGTTGGACGGCGTCATAAATTGTACAGAGACAAGGCACTTCCTGCTTGGAATACTTTTGTGTGTGTAGTAGTGGTTGGGACGAGGGGAAAGGGGGGGGGGGGCAAAGTCTTGCCACCTGCACACAGCCAAATCGAACTGTGACCAAATGAGTAATGATTGTACAGCCATGTTGATGCCTGTGAATGAACTTTACCGCCCCTTTCGACACCAATGTGGAGGCTCGAGCCAGTGAACGCCGTACAAACGTTGCCCTTGGGATCCAAACATTTTCTTTCGCGTTCTGCTCGCCCCGAGGGGCAGGGTGCAGTTTGATCGATACGCCCCTCCTAACCCTCCTATTGCGGCACGAATAGGGTTCAGTAGTCCGTCTCGATAATATACAGAAGATTTGACGGGCCAAAAGCTAGCATTCGCGAAGCTTCAGTTTGGAACGCTTAAAAACGTAGGATAACCTTGGCATAGGAACTCGTAGACAGAGTCCATTCCCAGGGCGCGCGGCGAGTCCTCCCCCCTTTCCTACTCACCTATCCAAGTGCGGGGAGGTCGCAGAATTAACCTGCGCTGCTTGCAGAGGTGGTCAACACCGCTTCCTTCTCCTCGGGAACCAACAGAACTCAGCTTATTTGGCATGAGGTTTATCACATCCATGCAGGCCACCTGTGTATTGAGGAGCTGAGGGGCCAGGAAATAGAGAGCAGCGGGTGGGTGGTCTGCAAGCGATCCCCAGCATGCAGACAGTGCACCCTCTGCGTGCACCTGCGCCATTTGTGTGTGATGCGGGGTACATCGGAAAGACCCGGAGGCCCAACCTCTGTGCGCGAGCCGAGCAAACGGGTGAGAGAGGGAGCTCGGTGTCGGGGTTTTGGGGGGGGTCTTGGCCATTCCCGATCTGACGGGTCTGCGGCATCCTCGGACAGGCAGGAGTCATCTCCAACTGCAGCAGTTCAAGGTTCAGATGTATAATACTGCTGCGGGCTCGCAGCAGGATCATCATTCCCTCCCGCCCACCATCCTATGCACACCCGGCTCTTCTGCAGGAGGGGGACCACGCCAGCGTCGCTCCGGGCCCTCCACTCGCGTGCGGCTGAGGGGCAACGGCACCGATCACCTGGGATCCTCCCTCACCCTCCCCGGGACGGGGGCGAGTTTCCCGGGCCCACCAGGCACTGAGGGCCCCCCGCTGCGTGTGCTCCCCATCGGCGGCCTGGGGGAGATTGGCATGAACTGCATGCTCATTGGCGTGGGGGACCGCTACATCCTCCTGGATGCTGGCCTCATGTTTCCCGAGTGAGCGGCTTGGCTCGTCGTGTGGAGTCGTGGTGTTTGTACCGGGCTGTGCGGGACTTGCCCCTGTAGTCGAGGGTTCACTCCATCCCAAAGGCATCGTGATGGGAGCTGCCGCCCACTCGAGGCCCTCAGCCCTGAACCGACGCCATCAGGTCCATTAGTTCATCCCTCCCCTCCATGGAAACGTCTTAACACTGTCCCGTCCCCCCCCCCCTTTCCCCCAGCGTGACCGACCTGGGCATGGCCAAGCTTCTCCCCGACACCTCCTTCCTGGCCAAGTGGAAGGACAAGATTGAAGCGGTGTTCATCACTCATGGGCACGAGGACCACATTGGCGCCCTGCCCTGGGTCATCCCTGCCCTGGACCCCAACACCCCCATCTTTGCCCCCGGCTTCCCCATGCGCCTCGTGGAAAGGAGGCTCAAGGTGGGGCTGACTTGAGGGGGGGAAGGGGCTTGTTCGTGGGCGCTGTGCACAGAAGAGCAGCCCGCCGGCCGTGTTTCAGGTGCCATTCTGCAGATCACGCGATGGTTGTCCATGCAGAAAGCTCCCCCCCCCCCCGAACCTTTCGCAGGAGTACAAGCTGTGGAACCCGGCGCGCGCACACACCGTGGCCATCCGCCGCCCTTTCCAGTGCGGCCCCTTCCAGGCCGAGGCCTTCCGCGTCACGCACTCCATCCCCGACTGTTGCGGCCTGGTGCTGCGGTGCGACGCTGGCACCATCGTGCACAGCGGGGACTGGAAGATCGACGAGACGCCCATCGACGGCGAGTGCTTCGACCGTGACTTCTTCGAGCAGCTGGGTGAGGAGACAGGCTGAGCGTGCTGACGAGAGGAGGCGTGTGGGTGGGGGCGAGCCACGCTGCGTGCGGGCCGGAAGCCTTCCTCCCATCACCCTCCCGGACGTGCCCCGGCCGACAGCGTTACGCCTCCCCTCCCCAACCAACATCCCCCCAGGGAAGGAGGGCGTGACGCTGTTCATGTCTGACTCCACCAACGTGCTGTCGGCGGGGAGAACCCAGAGCGAGGCGGTGGTGGAGAAGGCGCTGATGGAGCGCATGCTGGACCATGAGAACAAGGGCCGCATCATCACCACCCAGTTTGCCTCCAACCTGCACAGGTGTGGGCGGGCGGTTGGGCACGGGCTTGGGCCCTCATGCCACCTGCTGGCAGTCTTCGAGTGTCCTTGCACACGAGCAACCCCCCCCTTCTTCCCCTCCTCGCACCCATCGCCCTCCCTCCCCGATCGTCCCAGGCTGACGAGCGTGAAGAGGGCTGCGGACGCCGCGGGGCGCCGCATCTGCTTCGTGGGGCAGGCCCTGCACACGTACCTGGAGGCCGCACATCAGGAGGGGCGCGCCCCCCTGGACCCCGGCCTGCTGGTCTCCCACACGCAGGCGGAGGAGTGGGACCCCTCCAAGCTGGTCATCGTGACCACGGGGAGCCAGGGCGAGCCCCGCGCAGCGCTGTCCAAGGCGGCGGCGAAGGCCAGCCCCCTGCTGCAGCTGCGTCGCGAGGACCTTTTGCTCTACTCAGCCAAGGTCATCCCGGGCAATGATCAGAAGGTGGGAGCGTGTTGCGTGTCTTGGCGTGGGGGGCTTGGGGTTGGGTTAAGAACGTAGGAGGGTCCTGACGGGAGCGCCATCTCGGCGATGGGCCGAGGTGTAGGCCAGACTGGGCGCCCAGCTGCGATCCTCATACCTCTCCTGGGCACGGCTTCCCCTCGGCACACCGCAAGCAGCTGTGCCGTGCCACTGCGCCTGCTTCCTGTGTCTCGGCAGGCGTGACTCGGCCGTCTCCTGGCAGCCCATGGCTGCCTTTTACCTCCC